AAAATTAACCATCTATATTGAAACTGTTTATTAATAAATTTATATGAACTTACTCAACGGTTTGAATAGTTAACTATTGTTGTACAGTGGAACCCCGGTAGTCCGACAAACATTTTGCAGGGCAGTGTCGGACTATTGAATTTGTCGGATTATAGAGTACTGCCTAAGACCCCCTATAATCCGGATTTTTTTACAAAAGAGTACCTTGTAATCCGACAAATTACAGATTCAATGATAAGATTATTTACATATTATATATACATATGTACTTATATGTACTCTGGAGTACAAATTCAAATTCCAACTAAGCAATCAGAATCAAAACAATACCCTACGCGTCAAGCACAATAGTGATGGTGCGTACAAGTTGTAACTTGTTCAATCATGCATTAGCGAATACAAAATATGTATTCAATAATAAATAGAAGATCATGTCGGATTATAGGGGGTGCCGGATTAGACAGGGGCCGGATTACCGAGGGTCCACTGTACTTAGATACTGTAATCCTTAGAATTATTTTTTATTAATTATTCATAATTAATTAATGTACCTGTAGATATTGCCTGGATGAATTTGTGGGAACATGATACTTAATTATAATAAAATAATATGCCTATGTAGTAGAAACATAAGTAGTTATTAATTATTTCGAAATCAATATTTGTAATTATTGGTAAGTAATCATAATTTCGAATTCCTCTTAATATTGTAATTGCAATGTTTGAGTATCAACTTGTATTTGTAAACTAAAAATAGCGGCTTCAGCCTTTTTGTGGGGCATTACTATAATAAATGATAAACATTAAGAATCATGATTGAATTTTACCTCAAATATTATATTGTAAGCATTATATTATAAGTACAGATCTACTATTCTTGAATTCTAATACTGGAGGAAATGACTTACATAAGATGATTGTCCTCTGATTATAAATTGTGAAAAATAATCTTACTTTATTGTGACTAATATTGTAATTTGTGAATTATTTCATGCTCAAATGTGAACTGGATGTAACTGAAAAAATCATTTAAACTAGGTATCACATGAGTTTAGCTTGTTTATTATCAATTTTTTTTGTATCGAGAATAAGTAACATATTTATAATGGTCAGCATGATTTTTTTAAATGTTATATTTATTGATATTATAATTTTGGTTCAATTATTATTAATAACAAACATTATATATGTACCAACGAACACAAGTAAGAATTTTGGACAATTCTATTTTAGCATTACACTAGTTAATAACTAAATTAACTAAATTCTAACACAGTTTTCTTGATCCAGGTATTCTTTCATTCGTAGCATCAATTATTTTACTCGGAAATAGTACAAGTATTAAAAAGAATTTTCTTGTATATTTGAAAAGGTTGTCGTCTAACTTTTGATAGTTTCCAAAACTAGTATAGTTATTTGTGTACTCCTTTTCATCAGTTAAGGATCTTCTTAGAGGCAATATCTGTGGTATCATTGTGCTTAAAATAGTGATGGTAAATGATTCTTTGTTCAGAGTCTCACAGAATTTGTCTTGGACATAGTAAAAGTTCTTCGAACCCTTAACCTCGCTGACTGAAAAATAATTCTTGATATTTCTTTTACTTTTAGACCTTACCTGTACCCTTTTAAATCCACCAAGGATTTAAATTATCACTCATGACTTAGCACTTACAATTGTCATAGTTCTTTCTGAATCTCTATGTATTTCTCTTTTTCAATAGGAGTCTGCTTATATCTTAATACTTTTTCAGAAGATTCTATCGAATAGTCTGAAGTGTAGGGTTGGATACTTTGGAAATAAAGCCACGAATCCGTGGATACAGTATGATTTAAATACAGCAATAGGTTAAAAAGTGAATATTTTAGAATTATTTGCTGGTAGAGGTGAATGTAAACAGGTCAGAAAGTGCATATGAATTTCTGTGGGTGATGTTATATGAGTTTGCATAAAGTGAAAAAAAAAAACAAAAAACAAAACAGTAGCTGATGGAAACATCTATATCTTTTCTCATAATCTCATAGAATGAATTCGCTCTCTTATTCGTTTTTTCTATAATAATGTCGTTACGTTGTTTTTAAGTTTGAACTTATAGGAAAAGATTTTATTTTATGATTGAGTATCATTATATTATATCGCTAGAATGGCGTCGTTAGGAAAGTAAGAGCACTGGGGAAAATAAAATAAATGGGCTCCAATGGTATCCAAAAAACAATTCTTCCGATTGTTAATCAAAAATAATTTATTCAAATGGCTTCCTCGTCTGGCCATGCAGTAGAGCCTACTCGATCGGACTAATTTTTAAGCATATTATCGATTGTGTGTTGCTGTATTTCACGAATGTCTTCACGAATATTGTCCTTTGAAGCGTCAATTTACTCTGGCAAGTTATAGTAACACTTATCTTTGACGGCACCTCACTAACGACAGTCCAACGGTGTCAAATTAAAAGAAAAAAAAATAAAAATTTGTTTATTACTGTAACTTATACCTAGAAACAAATAGATACAACTAGAGAGCTCCTTTTAAGAAATGGAATTATCTTGTGTTAGGAGTCCCCGAAATTGCAGTTCCGATTTCAAAATACCGAGTGCAGCTTTGGATGTGTGGCACGTAGCGCCGTCCTCTTGAAACCAAATGTTGCCAATATCCTCCTCTACAATTATTGTGAACAAAATTTCGCTCAATATGACCCGATAACGATCGCTATTGACTGTAGAGGCCAATTTGTCGAGCCATCATGTCCATCGCCGACTCCAATCTGGATACTGAGGCGACTGCCATCTGCGGTGATGGTGCGATGTCATGTACTCTATCTGCTAAATCAGCCAGATCCTGTAACGTCATGTTGTCCTGAGAAGCGATTATCGTTTACGTTCGTATAGTAAGACGTTATATTTTTGATGGTATTGAAGTCCCTCGATTTGATTGTCATCCTGATGTTGTAATCCTCGATCTGTCGACTGGTTGCTGTTGTTGCTATAGTGACGATTTTTCCAGTACAGAGTAGTTTAGAGAGAGATATCACGATCGGACGTCTCAATCGGAGGTTATAAATATATGGCGATTTCTTCGCTCGCCTCGGCAGTCTGACCACTTCGATGAAACTCCTCTCGCTGTATTCATCACTCCTGAAGTCACTGTCATGTCACTGCATGTGAAGGCGGGCTTGAGCCTGTCCAGCTATACGACAGTAGTGCGAAGAGGCGTTTTTATCTTGAAATATTTTTTCATATATCTTTAAAACTTCGTAGGGTCCATCGTACGGCGGAGTGAGGGGTGCTCGAACTGTGTCATTTCTCACGAAGATATGTGTACAGGTTGCTAGGTCCTTATGGACGGCTTTAGTGTCTCATATGTCCGTTGCACCGTAAGAACGAATAATATCGCTTCTAAGTTTCTCATCCACTGCACTTCTATACATTACGATTTCGGTAATAGTTTTTATTAAATTGTCTTCATTTTCCAGCCGTGGGCGACCAAGATGTTTGTGTAAAGTTATTATCGATTCTGCTCCAGGTTTTGTAGCTACCAAAGCTTGAAAGCTTCTTTTTCTTTTTCCTATATTTTTTTGATGCTTTTTGGTTACTTTTTAGTTTCTCTAAATTCATAGTTTCCTTTTTTATTGATTTCTTCGCCTCCTGATACAAGCAAAAAATGCAATTTTTTTATTTATAATGTGAAATTCGAATGAAAAATATAATGTTACCTTGCAATTAAAGTATAATAAAATATTTTTTTTGTATCTGGATTAGCTTCAAGATTTATTCAATAACACGAGATGAAAACTTTCAAATTCACTTATTGTTAAAATTTGTAACTGACGGCTAACAATGACGCATACGAAATGGCGGACCAATCACAATGCTTTACTTTTTGGTTCAGAAACTACTGGCTCAAAATCACCAAGCATGCGAATTTCAAGATAAGTTTTATTGAAAAAAAAAATGCAAGCTATAATGATGACTCTAGGCTTATATTGTCGCAAAATGTACATGTTAATACGCTTTCATAGGGCAGCGCACAGAATTCTATATTTTTTTTGTAGTATTGCTTTTTAATGGACATGTACCAGAAAATTGTAATTCCGGGAACGTTTTTCTAAGTTGAATAAAATGACCAAAAACAAATATAACACATAATTTGTGCGTTGTCAAATAGCATGGCTATAAAATGTATCTATGTTATATAACCAATAATGAAAACAAAAGATATAAAATGTTATATAGCAAAATACGTCAAAAATTATACAAATTGCTATTACCGTGCATAAAATTCAAGAAATTTCTTAATATACAAAACGTTTATGATGGAATAAATATTGAATGAACAAAATGAAGGTTTGTTAACGTAATAAATATATATATTTTAAAAAATACATCAAATTATTGAAATTTTGTGATATTCCCGGAAATTATCAACCGTTCTCGTAATGACAAACATGTTGACGGAATGACGATATTGATATTATAAGGTAAAGTAAGGAAATGTTTGAACTTTAGACAACGGTTTAAATAACAAAGTTATTTATTTGTTTGCACATGAGAAATAACTCTTAATATTAATAAATTCTTATAATTAATTATGTCTTTTGGTGTGTTACAATCAGTCTAGTGGAACTTCTATAATCGTAGTTATAATCTTCTTATAATTTTAATCTGAAACCTCTACTCTAAAATCACAGTTTACTTAAAAACTAAACTCTTACAAATTATAGAAAAAATATAAGTAACGTCAGGAAATCAACGTAAAATTCTGTAACAAGAAACAAGTTAACTTAAAATACTATTTAAAAAACACAATAAAACTTATTATTTTTCTAAAACATCAATATCATTATCAGAATAATAATATTCTCTATTTTGTTCTTTTTACAGTAACTTGTAATTTTGTTGAAATGTTTTTCGCAGAATGTCAATTAAAGCTCTTATTTTATAAAGTTTGTCAAAGTCTGGGCTGTTTCTGTTGGGAATTACACTATTGTCATTTACGTGCAAGTTATTCAAAAGCCAACTGAATCGGTAACAAAACTGTCATGTAAATTAGGTGCTGAAGACCAGTAATCTCTGTGGCTCGGCAATTTTTTTATACCCACCACCAAGTTCAAGGCAATGAAAGCATCAAGCTCCTCAGTTGTGGTAGTAAAAGGCTTTCCAGATTGAGTAGCGTAAAGGTTATTTTGAAAACATAAAATGTCCTGTAAATGCTCTGTCCAAAAAAGGTGAAATAGTGAAAGAGGCGTAACATTCTCCATCATTAGTACTTGATCCGTTTTTCCCACGTCTTCTGTAAACTCACCGGGTATGTTCGTCCTATAATTCTTCTTCCACTGTAGAGCTACTGTAGGCCTGTTTGAATGTTCGATGTTGGGCTCCCTCTGACTTGGTCAGAGACCTTGTTTACATTTGTATTTTTACTCTTTCATACCAGTTCTCGGTCACATTAGGGCCTTTCATTCCTTTTACTAGTTCTTTCTTTCATCCACCCCTTTCATACCTCTGACCAGTGTACCTAACTAGCTTAGTCTATCTTATTTATTGTAGGTGGTGGGGGATTTAGCACAGTCAATTCCTTTATTATTCCAACAGCAGACATCCAATTACATTTCAATTTACAATACTTCAAATCCAATAATAGTTTAAAATTGTATAAAACATTTGAATTTAAAAGTATAATATAATAATATTATTGACTAAAATTGTATGCGATAATAATTAGACAGTTGGAATACATTAATAAATAATTACAATAAAACCTTAAAATTAGTATAATTAATAATTAGATAAAACCTTAAGTACAATGAACAGTAGTTAAAATTTCCAATAAATAATTAAAATTCAGTATTACAATAAATAAATGTTAAAATTTTCGGGATACTAAGTTAGACAAAGGGAGGTCATCATCGGAATCAAAGCTGTCATAATCGTTTGCTTGAACTTCTCCAATGAAATCGCCTAACACCAGCGGATTTGGCTGATCTTCTCTTTCTTCTTTGTCATGCTCATCGCCACATACACTCTCGTTATCTGAAGGTTAATCTACCCATAAGTATTCTGCTACTTCTCTATTGTTTAGTCGGCGCGAGTGACGCGACATACTGTAAACAATACGAAAAAGACATTAGCAATAACGTCCAAAACCTTCATGTAGATAAGTTACAATAGTCACGGTGGTTAGTAAACTAACCACAATATTTTCGTTGTCATTGCACATAGAAAGACACAAAACTTATTGTATTTTTAAGTAAATACGTATAATTTAGACATATTTATAAAAAACAATAAACAAAGAAGCTCACTTTAACCTGTTTTACAGATTTTTTTATCGAGCAGGCGAATAAGAGTCCGTTAGCATAATATTCACTTTAACGCAAATTAACTATCATTCATTCAATATACCGTCAATCGGTCGCAACTTGTCAAACATAGTCCAAACGTTCGTAACAACTCAGCCGTTCGTCACTAAATGGCGTAGATTCTATTAGAAAAAATCGGAAAAAGGTGCTTTGAGACACTAACCACCAAGACTGAAAGAGTTAACTGTGTATAAGAGGACGCGCCTTTGTTTTTTAACAACATTATGTTTTACACAGTCCCTCTTACATGGACACATTCGACTCACATCATCTCGTTCGAAGAAATCAACGACCTTTTGACGAGCGTCTTTCTTCAAAATTACTTCTCGAATTTTGGCATCAGATTTTAAAATCGATTTTCCGTGTCTTTCCTTTTGTCTAGCTGGTAAAATTCTCTTGGCCATATGTAGCATTTTATATTTCCGCTGATACATTTATGAAAGACTTCTCTCTCTTTTGAATTTTTTGGAAGACCATCAGCCTTTTGTTGCAATTGATAAGTCAATACTTCACTATATATAAGTCGTTTGCGTACTTCAGGAGGTACTTGAATATCTTTAATTAAGGCATCAACTTTTCTTACGGGACTTGGTATAGTTTTCGTTTTTGCATCTATTCTTTGTATTTTTTTCTTCAAAGATTGAATTTTTCGCTTCATTTCAACTATAGTTTCTTCCTGCTTTTTAATTTTTCTGTATGCTTTCGCCCTATCTTTTTTTAAAGGGTTCTGATAATAAAAATAAAACTAATAAAAATTTAAAGGGTTCTGAATCGTGTAAAACTTTCCGTTTCGTTTTTGATACAATATGCATATAAGGGCACTCTTTAATTCTTTTTGCATGTTGACAATGTTCTTTAGTAAAACATTTATTGAATTGACTCAAGTAACTAACTGAAAATGAAATATCAGGGCGAGTTAACACAGACAAATACATCAGACTACCTATCAGGCGTTGATATGGTAAGCTTATATCGCATTCATTATCAATACTGAGATTAAGTTTACATTCCATTGGTGTATTTGATGTGCCCTCTTGATCTAATGTTACAGAATCTTTATTGCACACAACTCTCATACCCAAACAATGTCTTATAGTACCAAAGTCTTTCATCTTGAAATTCTTTTCTAAAGACCTTTTTAAGTTGATTACTTTATTACAATCATTTAGAAAAAATCATCGACATATACATATTAAGCCCAGACGCCTTCTGCGGCAATATCCATATCACTGGTAGTTGGTGTATCTGAATTTTTAAAGAAATTTAACATGGAAGAAATCGGTACGACATTATTCACATCTAACATCCAAGGGAGCACTACTCTGTTGCTTTAATAAAGGATATTTACTTCGTAAATTAACCTTAAATGTGCATTTACTTTTCGGCATGGCAAAAAACGGCCCTGACCTCGATACCCTTCCCCGTGTACGGCTCAGACAGCAAGGCTACGATGTGTTCGCTATTAATAAAGGATGTAATGAACCCTTTGCACTGAATGATTTTAATTTTGTGTGGATCCATAATCGACAGAATTGAGGGTTCTGGATTGGACTGTTCTTAACCCTCTATCACTCAAGAACGTGGATTTTAAAATAAAAATTGGATCCGGGTTTAAAACGACAAAATAAAATACACGTGTTTCAGTATTTTTCATTTATTAAAATAGTTTAGAAGATATTTTTTAAAAAGGGGAGTGTTGCTTTAAAGCAACACTGGACCATAAGACAAAAAAAACATAAAACTATGTATTAGAAACCTATTTCTGAAAAAATTATGATAGGTGAAAATTTCTAAAACAATTCTTAGTTTTGGTATAACACAGTGCTACCCCACATTTCTCACACATGTTATACGTAAATCCAACGCACTTTGAAAGCTTGCACCTCATTTTTTTTCCAGACCATTGTGGCCAGTGGCCTATCTGGTCTTGGAGGTACGTATTGTGCAGGTCCTTTGTGCCTTTTGGCTTGAATCCTGGTCTCCAGCGAACGCTCGCCGGACATACCAGATTTTGTACCCATTTTACATAGGGTCTGGCTGTCAATGTCTGTGACGTAGCCTTGTGTGTGGTGGGGTGTTTAAAATTAAATTTGATGTCGTATTTGGTACAGTTATAGGTCCGGACCCCCACGGGCTTCTGTTTCTTTAGGTGATGCATCCCCTTGAGTTTCATGTCGAAGCGCATGGAGGTCTTGCTGCCCAACGCCTTTTTTTCTGCCTTAAAGTCCTCTGTTTTGTTGGTGTTACTGCTGTTTTGGTAGATGTTTGTTTAACAGTCTTAATAACAGGTTTCCTTGCCGGTTTTTGACTGGTTGAGGTGGATGGCCCAGATGTTGGCGCCAACTTTTGCTCTTGGGATTGATCGGCCATTTTTGTTGGTTTTTTGGGCGATGAGTGCACGGGATGTTAATTTTGTGTTTATAAACGTGTAGATCTCGATGTCACGTTTCTGCCGATACCAAACTCGATAGGGTTATTTCCACCCTTTAGTGAGTTATGCCCCCGGGAAGGTTTTCCAGGGAAATGCTTGTATCTCCTTATAGGGTGGTCTCCCGAGGGAACAAAAGGTGTCAGGGGGTTTGTCTTGAGATGTTTAATTTAAGAGTGGTATCAGGTACTCGCCATCTGTCCTGGATCGACGACCACGTGCCACGTGCTATCTGAAACCAATCTACGGCGACTTTACGTCATCTTCCTATTTTGCGCAGGGTCTTCCTCCTCTCCTTTTATTAAGTGGGCCTTTCCAGGCTGTAACTATTTTGATCCATCTCTGGTCTTGCAAGCGTGCTACATGATCAGCCCATTTCCATTTTAGAGTCACCGCTTGTACTAGTCCATCTTTAGCCTTTGTTGTCACTCTTTTTATTGTGTGTCGTATTCTTTGGATTTTTTTGATGTAGCATGCTATGCTCCATGCCTCGTTGACATGTTACTAACTTACTTTTAACGTTATTGGTATATTTCGACGTTTGGCCTGCGTATGTTAAGTAGGGTAAGAGGCACGATCACGACCTTCGTTTTCATAGTGGTTGGTAAGCTGCTTTTGAATATTTCTTTTAGGTTCCAGTAATTATTCCATGTTAGTTGTCTTCTGTGTTCGACTTCATAATCGTTATTTTCGGGATTGAAGCTACCTAGGTACAAGCACTAGTCTGCACATAGGTACATATCGGCAATAAGCCTCTGATATATAGATGTCAGAGGCTCGCTACCGACCCATATTGAATTATTTCATTAATTACATAATATGAATCTAATTGTGCTATTATAATACTCTCGAGTTGCTATATCTTATACTCTATGTGTGCGACTGACTATAAGTGACGAAAAATCAAAAGAATAATATTTTACAAACATTAATATGAGTTACTTAAAATACAAAATGAGCATCTTCATAATATTTGAGCGAGTTAATATTTGTATGTGTATCAACGTTACGTCCTGTATTTGTTTCCATATTTCCCAAATGTATTTTTTATACTGAGCGGCATTTTATCTTAAATGAAGTGTTTCGAATACAAAAACCACTTTGAAAAATACACTAATGGGCAGATTATAAGGAGCTCACATTAAAAAGGAAACATTATTAGCTAAGAAATTTTATTATTGAAATTTAAGGGTAATTAAATAAAACAGAAAACTCCGTAAAACTAAAGTAGTATGCAGTTACTTAAATGAACAAAAATAAAATAAGACGCTTCAGTCAACTAACAAAAACAAGATGTTACTTATTTAACATTAATTGGTGAAACTGGGTCTTAACATTTCTAAGTAATCAACAAACAATAGAAACAAAAATCTAACAATATTTATTTTAAAAGTACTATTATCATGAAATTAAGAACAATAACACTATAATACTATGAAAGTCAACTATCCCAGTCTTTATAACAGCCTTTTGAGATTTTTATAATGTTATATTACTTGACTTTAATATTATTTTGAGGTAATTTTACTTAATTATAAGATTGTTGGGAATATAAGCTGTGCCAGTCACCTGATTCACCAATAATTTCCCCTTAAAAGCGACCATTTAGGACGACTTATCAATAATGATCACATCCATTATTATACCTTGGCATCTTTCACGAATGACAGTAGCGAACTCATTCAGGTTTAGTTATATCTCCTCCTGTAGCAATCACTTGGTCTGCTGTTCGTTTATAAGTGGCCCCTACTAAAATTTTCGGAAAAATCGATATGTACAATGACATCGGTTTCAGATAAAGACTCTTTCAATTGCTTAATGGCATTGTACTGATGTAATATGTTAAAAGAATGCCCGAAAAATTTAACCATATCATTTTCTAGTTTTGTAATGACATTTCTAGGTGACATTTCCTGTGTTTCTATTTTACATTTCGTCACAAATCGTTCTTTCTTCGTTTTCAGATGTATTATGGACTCTTTCTTACTCACCCACTGTTTTATTAATATTGGTTTTGAATTATTGATTTCTGTATAAGTCAGAGTTTTTGAGCAATAGTTATCACTTGTTCTCTCTAGACATCTTTCAGAATATCGATCACAACAAAGCAGTTCATATATTTTGATGATTAATCACTGTTGTAAGTGTATTTTCCTTCTTTAGAGCAGCTAGTTGAAGGTCCATGTTTTCGTGAATCGTGCAACTACTCGTACAAGTTTCACGGCTTGACAATGTAGGCTAAGAGGCCAAGAAATCTTTTAATTATTAGTATTTTATTATCAGTTATTTATGACATTAATTTTATTTGAATTTTGTTTTACTCTGTCCTTACATAGTATATGCAGTTACTAAGAACTCTGTCTCTAATTATAAAAACTCCTATTTTTCCATCTGGGTCTTAATGTTAGATTCACGCGAACGTTTCAGAATCTTTTCTATGTTAACCATATGTTCCTGTTAACATGTACTAAATATGACGACGTCATCCAAATAAACCAGACAGATTTAGTTTTACCGAAAGCATCAGCCTTTTTAGGAACTACCCAAATAGGAGAGCTCCACGGGGATTCGAAACCGAATTATATTCTGTTAGACCATTTTTTTTATTTGTTCTCTTGTTTGTGAAAACTTGTGGAATTCGTGTTCTTTGGTTTTCATTGTGTGACATCGGTATACCAGAGATTTAAAGGTTATTTTTCTTCCATCTTGTTCTTTAAGACGCAGCTGATCCGCCAATGTTGATACCAAGACTGTTGTAGCATTAATATCTTTTTCGAGACGATTAATGTCCAAATTTATGTTTTTGGTAGGGGAAAACAGGTAGGATTCGTACTCTTTTTACTTTTAGCTTTATAACAGAAAAGTTTTTTTTTATTTTAATGCTATTGTATATCCTATATATTTGGCTATAGTTATAGTAAAGTCAAGAACTGGTATCAAGTACTATTAACGGGTGTTTTTTTTAGAGGTATAGAACTTTGAACTAAAATAAAACAAAAATGATTGCTTTTATTGATATGAAATGTAATATTTTGAAAAGATAATATTCTTTCATTATAATTTAAATAAGATTTCAGGCATATGACCTCCACGACTGGTTCGTACGTAGTTTAATCTGGAGGTCCAATTTTCAACGACTTTTTCCAACATTCGTGACTGTATATCGGCAATAACGTGACGAATGTTATCCTCCAAGTGATCAACGGCTTCGGGCTGATCAGCGTAGACTAACGACTTTACATATCCCCACAGAAAATAATCAACCGGCGTTAAATCGCATGATCTTGGGGGCCAATTCACGGGTCCGAAACGTGAAATTATGCGGTTACCAAATGTTTCTCTTAATAAACCAATTGTGGCACCAGCTGTATGACATGTTGCACCGTCTTGTTGAAACCAGAACTCCTGAACATTATGGTTGTTTAATTGATGAACGAAATAGTCACTAATCATCGCTCTGTAGCGGTCACCATTCACTGTTACGTTCTGGCTAGTATCGTTTCTAAATAAGTACGGACCAATTATTCGGCGGATAGACTGATTCGGGTCTTCTTCTACGCTACGCTCCACAGCAGAAATAACTTCTTCTGTACGCACTGTGGGACATCTCTGTGGATGCGTATTATCATTTAGAGTAAATGTAGTGCAAAAACGTTCCATTGTTAATCAATTTAATTATTCTGATGGACGATTATGTGGACCTTAAAATGGACGTAGTGCGCGATACGTTTTTCGAACAGAGCCATGATTTTCAAAATGAATTTGCACAATTTGGAGGCGTTGTTTAGGCGTTAGTCTATTCATGATGAATTGCCAAACCAAATTAAACACAAATCACTGGACAGCTGTCAAAATAACTGCCAGTTAAAAAAGTATTGGCAACTTAAAGTTGTATATCTCTAAAAAAAACACCCTTTATAAAGCAACGGCACTATTTCTAAAAAATGGAAAACGTACGAAGCTACCCCCCACGCGTGGTAGCTTCGTACATAGGGAAAGGTGCATTCGTACATAGCGGGGAGCACTCATACATAGTATATAAAAAACCTTTTTATATGAACTTATTTATTTATTGAGATCAAAATTAACACAAAATGGACTCTAAATGCAGTTATAATTAACAATACAGTCATTTACAATCAACTTTGTTAAATCTTAGACATAAAATAAACATTTTACTTAACCATTAGGGTAACTTATTAAAAAAACATAACAAATCTGTTATTTATTGCACATTATACATAGTAAAAACTTTCGTAAAACCAATTATATGAGCTGTTCTTGCTGTAGAAGCTGATTTAGGCGGAGGCAATACACAGACCACGTCTGATAAATAAACAGTTCCTTCGTAGGAAAAACAAATTTCCAGGTGCCCGGCTTCTTTCTCATAAATGAAACTTTGTATTCAGTAGGGTTATATTTTGTTTTCACCTGCCCGATATAATGTAAAACAGTCTTCTTTTTTTTCAAACTTCACCAACAAAAATCTTTCTTCTTTAATGTTTTCGGTCACAACTGATGAACTGAACTTCAGATCTCTCGTCGAAAGGAGAACAAGAACTTTCTCTTAAGACTGACAGTCTCATCGTCACCATCAGTCTCAGCCTGTATAGTTTTATTTTTTTTTCTTTGGATTAGTTTCTATATTTGTATCTGTTTATAAATAAAACTCCAGTATGGTAACCAATAAGACCAAGATTCCTTGTTTTTGTCGCACTAAATTCGTAAAAATGCGCCAAATTTTTTATGAGCATTTCTAACGAACCTATTGACTGATGATGATATGCTGTTGATGTAATTTTATTTATTTTATTTTATTTGTAAGTAAGTGAAACAAACAGCATATTTTATATTACATAAAACTTATAAACCTTAAATAACCCACATGCTAATACAGTTTCCACAAATAATTAATCTGGAAGTGAACATATATATAAAAGAA